GATGTGAAAATTCTTCCACAAGGAGTGTACCCTTAAAGCGGAGGAAAAGGCACCAAACGTTTTTGGCTCAGTATGTCACTGAAGCCATTTCTCTTTGGCATTTTAGTCAGAGAGGTGGGAAGATGACACCCCTCCCTCTTCTATCTGCCTGCCTGATCTGTTCCCATTTTTAACCATTCTGTGTCCAAATATCAGTGTGTGAGAGAGAGTAGGGAGAGACAAAACAAAGTTAACCCTGGTTTAATTTTAAATTATATTTTACCTTCAATTTTTATTTTAGAAGTTTGTATTTTACTTATTTTTTGATAGTCAGATTTAACGTATGTTTGAACACAGTCTTGCTAATTAATGTTTTTACAAGTTGTGGAAGTGCAACAATTTATCACAGTGTGAATTTTAATACTAATTGTTGATTACTTATAGTTTATGCACCTGACACTTTAATTTAGATGTATATAAAAACATATTGAACTGTGACAGAACATTCTGAAATACAATCGAAAATATTCTGTGATATTTGTGTAGATTAAACTTTTCTAAAATTTATTTTTTTTAATTAAAAACAATTAAAATGTATAATCTTTCCATGTTTAATGTCATAAGAAAGTACAATAAGTCCCTGCTTTGTTTAACAATGGTTTCAAATTTAAAACTAACTGGCGAGAAAGCTATGTTTAATGATAATTAAAAGATTTCAAGTTGAAAGACATGATTTCCATTCCATTCCAGTTTTAAAGGCACACACGTTCAGTGCCATAAACACTGCAAGCTGCAGAATGGTCTCCTTATCTCTGAGCTCAATGGGTGGTGCACTATTTTCTCAGCTACCTACTAATTTGTTTCACATCACAGGAAGACAGGAGAATGTGATTGTACTGTATCAGTACGAAATGTGTGTTGCCTTTACAAATTTAAAGTATTTAAAAGGTTTAATTAAAAAGTTTAAAAAAACTTACAGCTTACACTAAGATTCTAAGCTGATCGATCACAAGGAAAATCCCATTTTTCATGGATTTTATGTTTTTAACTAAACCCGTTTTTATGGGTTTTAAAATCTTGCAATGTCTGTTTTAGGCAGACACATTACTGTTTCTCATTTTTGATTTTCTTTAAAATTAAAAGAATCAGTTGCCCACCATGCCACACAATATTATGTTACATCTTTATGTTTTTGAGAGACTTCAGAAGGCTTCAACTGATGCATAAAAAATATAGCATAATGCCTTCCGGCATTATGAAGTCCCTTGCACTGGGATCCGCTTTATTCAAAATAAGGTTTCTAAAAATGCAACCAGGTACTAGATGTTGTTTAAGTAAAAGCTGTGAAATGTTTCACAATTTGCTAACTTTAAACCTGTAGGTTGCAGGCTCTGTGTCATTTGTTCACAAAGTTATTGACATCTGAAACATTGTGTCTCATAAATAGACATTTTAATAAACGAAGCTGATGAAAACTGAAAATAATATAATAAAAATAATATAAAATAATGACCAGGCACATATTTATAAGTTACCGCCCTTCCCTGTGATAGCAGGACCACAGCTACTGGGCTGTGGAGAGATCTCTCTTTAGCTCACGGGGCTGGGTCGCTGCAGAGAGACACGGAAGTCCTGGGTTCGACCCTCCAGTCGGGATGGGGCCTACCAGATGCGGCAAGGGCGCCC